TGCCCTTCATGAATATTCAGTTACCCCCCGAGTTCCACTGATGTCTCACTGATGTCAGCTTGCGTGTGGGAAAAGAAGTTGCCCCAGTAACACAACTCGCCCAAAGCTGTTCCAACTGCTGCAAAAAAAAGAAATTTGGGAATGCGTACTGTAGTTCATCCCCAAAATGCAAGCGCTCTGGTCTGGAACCAGTAATAAAATACAGCTGAGTGAAATCTTCTTGATCTCATGTGGCACTCTGAAAACTAGGGCAGCACTTAGGTCGCATGTTTAGGTCAGTCACCCTTCACTGGGGGATTCTCTAATGCATCCTGTCAACCGCTGTGCAGCCGCAGCATCGCAGCGAACACAAAGGCATGTCTGCGTCCGTTCATGATGCCTCCTGATTGCTCCTCTCACTTTTAATTTCTCAGTTGGATATTTGCAGTGAATGTGTCTGTTAAGCTGAAAAACTCTTCTATAAAAGCTCTGTTTCGTGCTTTAAGGCATGTGACATTGAGAGATCCTTCACTGCCACGCTGAATGAGAAATATTATTGTTCTGACTATGTCATTGTCAAACAGACCTGCAGTGACACACACGCATGCGCACACACACACACGCATGCGCACACACAAACACACACACACACACACACACACACACACACACACACACACACACACACACACACACACACACACACACACACACACACACACACACACACACACACACGGCCATTGTCTCAGTGATAAATGAAGTGTGACACGGTGTATGCACAGGCCGCGGTGGAATAAATAAAGCAAGGCTCTTCCTGTTGCAAAGGACAGGATTAACATAATACCAAGACAAATACTATATAAGATTACTGCTGACGCGAGAATGTTACAGTATATGAGCCTAATGATGGTCCACCATCAGGCGGGATCCGGCACGGCCACTGTCCCTCGTGAAGGATTTAAAACCACCTCTTGTTATGTGAGTTCATGGAGTGAAACACTGAGGAGTATTCTCAACACAGCAAAAAAACAAGAGAGTGTAGCACAAAAGCAAATGTGACCTTAGGTAAAGTCAATGTTTCCTCTTTGATGCATCCCCACGCACATGTCACTAATAGAGTTGGTTAAAATATTTATGATGTAATCAGGACACAATATGTGGAGCAGCCCCGCTAGCAGCCGGCTAGGAAAAACTTTGAGTAGACGCCGAGAATGCCGAAGGTGTTTTCCAAAGACATGTGGGTGTAATAAAGCTCAAAGAAATATTTCTTAAAGTCCACATGACATGTTGCCACAGGAGCGGCCCCCAAAATATCGTTGCTTGATAACATCACAAGCTTTATGCTTCCCCGCATTCTGGCTTTGAGGGAGACTTCGCAAATATCGCTTGAGCTGCGCCAGATCAAAAGGAGAAACATGTGCAAGATTTATTTTAGCGATAGAAAGAGGCTATTCTTTTGGTAAAAAAACATGAAGGATAAAAACATTCTGAAGCCAACATGAAGTTAAATGATGAGAAGTTAGTAGTGTTAATTACGCTTCATAAGAGAAGATGAGTGATGAATCCGTTTTCTTTCCGGCTTCCGACCATGCAGATTTTCAGTAGGCTTCAAGGCAGCGTGTTGCATGTTTGGATTAAGTTTAGAGATCGTATCTCAAAGTCACGATTATCTCTGATCATTTCAATGATGAAGTGAGGAATCAATTACAGATGTGGCACAACTCCCAACTGACAAATCCAACCCAACACATGTTAGGATTTAAGGAAAACTCAAGTCATTCCAGGAAATGTAGGAAATGACTAACTGAAGTAATAATTAGATAAGGCTTGAGTCACGTCTACAATAACATTGTCTTGTGCTTTATAAACGGAGCTACAGCATGTTAGCTTCTGCAGCTTCCGAGCTAACAAGATGGAGAATCTAAGCTTTGACCCCTCACATGAAATATAAGCTTTGTTCCGGCCCACTTGTGGGTTGTAAATCCTATTAAAAAGACCAAAACCAACAATGTGTTAGTGTTTCTCTTGTTACCCCCGACTTCACTACTCTGTCAATGGCGGCCCAAAGCCCCTTTGTTCCTGCCTAAGACGTAAATCTTTAAAAATCGGTCACGCAAGAAATGCAGAGCTGATCTAAACCGCCATAATGGTGGGTGGACAGACTTTATTGAGGGGATGGAAAAAGACAGAGCCGAGTGCTTCATAAAACTTGGAAAAGTGGCCCCATATGAAGAACTGTCTTTATAAAAACAGATGGGAAGATAGGGACTTAAAATGGGGAAAGTATCAGATCTAAATCCCTGATGATAAATCATTTTGAATAATTCAAAATGTGTTAGTTTACTTTTAATATAAAATGCAACCCAGAGCTTTTGGTATCTATTTGAATAAAGATTTGACGATTCACTCGTTATCTTTTTTTTTTTTTTTTTTACTGTCATTTTCATACATTTTTTCTATTTTATTAACTTTAATTATTTTATAATTATTAAAGCTTAGCGCTAATGCAATCAACATGTCACACTATATATTGCATCGATAAACACAATTAAAATTTTCAGCAAAAGTTACAGGAAATCAAATGAATTATTATTCGTAATATTTTCATTTAATTGTTTTTCATGTTGTTGTTGGACAATAATTAGCTTTATAGCTCAGAGGCATCAGCAATTTATATGAGGCTTTAACTTCTGAGGAAATGCATGTTATTAGGATCAATGTGTTGTTGTTTTTCTGGCCTGTTTTGGGGATTTCCTAATAATTAGAATCATTATCCTTATTCATTACAGCAAGATATATCAGATGATATCCCTGGGGTTGTGCCTACAACCTTTTTTCCATATATTATGCATGCATCATTTTGCAGTCGTGTGCTATGGGGGTTATAGACTTTATTTAACAACAAGATACATGCAAAAACATTTCCTTGGTGACCTGACCAACGTGTGTGGTGTGGACTAAGTCCCTTTGAATTATTTAAACCTGGAAATCACTGAGACGCAGCTACTACCAAGTCCAGAGACTAACTGTTATCTCCACCAGCTTCTCCACAAACCCCTGCTGAACCTCCATCTATCGGTGACGTTCAGGCCAGGGAGGGAGAAAATAAGTACCAGAGCGTTAAAAATAATGTATGGTTATCTATAAGGGAGTCCATAAGAGACTCTGCTGTGACTCCAGCTCCACTGACCCCTCCTGCTGATCTTGAGATCATTACTGCAGCTGGATTCAAACTGAGCGGCCGACCTCCGGTCCACAGACCGCTGAGGAGTCCCCTCCATCTGACACCCCTTATACTGTATATAATGCCTCTATAAAATAAATACTTTTAAATGTAAAACAAATACATTTTGTGGTCATGTGTACACTGTGCTCCGCTGTGTAAAATATGAACATTTTTAAATATACTTTATATTTTTGTTTTATCCTCAAATTAAAGCTCAGGTGTAAATGAAACATTTTACAATATAGTACCAGTTTTTTGACCTTACCGTTTCTTTTCTTTAAATACAAATACTAAAATAGATACATTTTAATGTAAAAATAAAAATACCGGTTCATGTATATACTGTGCTCTACTGTTTGAAGTATTACGTTTTTATTCAAATATTGTTTTATAAATTATTGCTCAGGTGTAATTTAAACGTTTCAGTCTCAGGTTGTTTTGTGGTTTCTATTTCTCTTTTTTACGACTTCTTCTATCTCTTCCTTTCTTTATCTACTTAGTGCAAATCCACTACTGCTACTACTACTACACTATCCACTACCAGATTCAGAGACAGCTTCATCCCGCAGGCAATAAGACTGTTAAACAACTGAACTGCTGAAACAATTTCATAACATTCATCTGCTACTTAGTCATTATTTATCTATTATATCATTCCAATAACTTGTATATAGACTCGTATTGCACAATTCCACTTTTTTTTAAACTATTTTTCTTTTTGTATTACTTTTAATATAATATATTTTAATATTGTCTGCTTATTTGTATTATTGTGTTGCATTGTTGGAGAAGCCTGTGACCTAAGATTTTCAACAACTAATTACTCAATTATAATTGCTATGTTAGTTTGACAATAAAGAACCTTGAACCTTGAATATTTATTTATCTGCAAAACTATGATTTAAAAAGCAAGCAATTCAGAAATGATAAATAACCCACAGACAGGCTGTCTGAAAGTCTGGAAAGGGAAGCGCACAATGTTTACACAAGACAAAATATTTAGTCTTTACTTCAGTTTATAGTTTTACCACAAATACAAAATATTAAATTACAATTCAAGCTACAAACACAATGTTGCTTATGAAACTGTTTGCAAGTGTTATCAGAAAAATGTAACCAGTGTAGTCAAAGTAAAAGACCTCATTGTGCAGAATGACCTCTTTTCAAGAATTACTTCTAGGACGTTTTTTTGCGTCTGTAATTTCCTTGCTATTTTGCAGGAATTTTCCAGGAAATGACTAAATAATGTGCTACTAATTACAGGGGAAATGGGATGTTTCCTGGAAGAAAAGCTACATTATAATCCAAATAAACATTTGTTTATAAGTCATTTATCATACGAAAAGTTATCCTCCAAAGCTGTTTTTGCATTTCCAACTGACCCGCTGTAACGTGACTCGCAGAAACCCACTAGAAATGCATTGGAATTCATTAAATAGGAGGTACAAAAATAACTTTTTTTTTCCAAATAAAGAGAACCTAATTAGATGGGGAGAAAAGTACTCAGTATTGTACTAAAGTAAGCTAGTGCTTGACTAAATGTCAGTCATGTGTGGTTTTGTATGCAGAACTCCCTAAATGCCACTAATACTGTACCATAAGCGAGGCACGTCACCTCCATTTGTTGCATGGAGCTGCTGTAGTGGCCATTAAAATACAGTTTACCGGGAAACTCCCAGGTGTGACCGCGTGTAACTGAGTGTGAAGCAGATTATTACTCTTCGCTTCTGTGGTTGAATGAAGGTTAAAGAGCTAAAAAGTGGCGATAAATCATCTTTTAAGACAAACTTACAGGTGATGTAGTAGTTGACGTTCTTCTTGAACTCCAGGCCCATGTAGTTGGGGCTGAACTCCTGGAACTTGATGGTGAACTTGATGTCCTTCTCGGGCTTGTTGCAGTTGACCAGGACATTGGGATCGAGGACTGTACTGCAGGTGTCCGCCTGCTCCCTCTTCACCAGGTACAGCTTGTAGAACTCGTACTCTCTGCCATCGTCCGCTTTGGGACAGATGATGTCCAGCTTGTCCCCGATGTCTGGGTATATCACAAGACCCTTACCCATCAGAAACCTGAGGGACGAAAACAAAGAAGATACGTTAGCAACACATATTTAAAGGAAGTCTGGAAAAGCAGCCATATGATTCAACAACAGTTTATACAGACTTAATACTTTGAGCTATAGGAGTTATGGGTTTAGATTTGTCTGGCGTTGGCTTTTAGGCCGTGCGTAGTTAATTCACCCCCTCTAAAACTACATGTAGCAGCTCAACATTGTTCAGCGCGAGTCGACAGAGCGTTTCACACAAATCCTCTAAAGTTTCTTTTCATACTTGGATCCGAATCAAAGCATACCAAAGGTTTGCGATGAGGGGAAACAAGATGGCCAAACACAAAATGGCTGCCGCAGAAGTGGCTACAGATAGGATTACACCAGGGGAATGCCTCTAAATCCTTTTTTCATATTTTTGGACTTCCACGTAAGACCTGTGCAAGACACAATATCTGTGCTTCTTGTACTTCAGAGGTCCGAGTTTCTGGAGGAAAACAAAGTGCGGGGGTCAACAGGAAGGTTTCCCGGTTCATCTTCCCTCCGCCATGATCCTCTACTGGAGGATTAAGATAATCCATCTAGCCTTACTGTACCTCTCCACCTCGCTCTCTGCTGCCAACTCAATCAGATCAGCTCTTGCTCTCTTTTATTCACAAAAGGTGGGGAAACAGGAGGAGACCCAGTGTGTGTGTGTGTGTGTAAGTGTGTGTGAACAGAGGGGGTGGAGGTTCACTGAGTACTTGCAGTGTGTTTGGGCAGTGGTGTGTATGTTTATGCCCATCTCCATGTGTGTGTGCGTGTGAGCGTCGGTCAGCAAAATGGGCTGAGGTTGCGGTCTGATGAGGGGGGTAGGGGTGGGGGGGCAGATGGTCTGAATCATTGTTCTGGACTTGTTTGAGGCTTAAAATGTCAACATGGTTCAGCTCTGCTGTCCCAGTTAGCCAAGCATTAACCCAGACAGCCGGACTGACCACGGGTGTGTTTATGTACGGGTGTGTGTACGTGCGTGTGTGCGTGCGTGCATTGTGGTCGCAGACAGCGAGCACAGCAGCAAGGCTATCTGCTAGATCTGCCCATGCCAGCGGATTTAAGCAGGATTTAGCTGCGCGCAATGCATTTGTTGTTCTTCCTGATCCCTCACGTTTTAACAAGACATCAGGGGCCGGGCCTCCCTCTGTCTCTCCCTTCTTCCTCACTCCGAGTGTAATCTCACCTTATCTACAGCCCTCATTTCATCATCACACACATCATTTCACCACTATATAACTGGCTCTTCAGACAGGCCCGGGGAAGGGAGGACTGTGAAAGAGACTGATAGAGGAGTGTGTAAGTGTAGAAGTGGGGGGGTTATGATCTCGATCCCTCCTGCACTGATGTTAAACACTGGCAATCGGCCAGCCATTGTAAGAAACGATCATTTAGAAGAAAAAAATAGTCCCATTTTCTGAAAGATACCCCCCATGAAAATGAACATGATTGGATTAAGGCCTTTTCAACAATCATGGCTATTCTTCTTTAACCGGGGCATTACCAAATATATGACTTGATTCAAAAAAGAGATAAATGCAACATGTAATACGCAAAACGATCAAAACCTGTCAATCAAACCCCACTTTCTTTCAGAGCAGTATGATGTCATTGAACATGCGCAGTTAGGATCTCGTTGACGGGCTTGGGAGCGGGTGAGACGTTATTTCCACACTATTGTCTGATGCCCGTGGGGGCGAGGGGAGGGGTTGCACTAATTCAAGGGCCGATAAGAGCGAGAATGCGGGGTCTGCTTTGTCCCACCTCTCCTCACCATTTGCTGGTTTCAGCAGCAACACTCTGCATGTGCTCGCAGACGTGTGCGTTAGGGTACATATGTTTTTCAGGCGTGTGCACGCCGCGAAACATGTGCGTGTGTCTATGAAGACACGGACACAATCAGCCTCTAATTGGATCTACAAGATGCATCTGTGAGGCATAAACAAGTTTCCATGGCAACATTAGGCTTTGTTGCTGACCACCCCCTCTACTCCCACCTTCTCTCTATTTCCCCCCAATCTCAGCCCCCCTCTATTTCTGCTCCCAAATCTCATTCCCTCTCGCTTTATCCTCATTCACCTCCTCAACATTTCCCTCATTCGGTTTTCTCTCATCACCCTCTTCATCCTCCCCCTCTCTGAGCACTCACAAAAACACCTACAGAAAAACAAGCACGGGGGGAAAAGAAAGAGCGGCAAACATCACAATTACACCTTGATTTGATTCACTCCAAAAGTAGCTGTTTTCTATTTTCCGTTTCTTTGTAGGGAAGAAGTTGGCAAGTTTTTCTCCAAATGTTCCATTACAAGAGAATCAAACTGACTTAAAAGCTCAGCTCTCAAATGAAACAATGAGCCTCACGCCCAACTACCCAGTTTCACAAGCCATTTATTTCTTTATCAAAGCGAGCTGCTACAAGTTAGATGAATAATTAAGATTTCCAAAAATCTTAATATCATAATATCCCTGAAGGATTTAATCACAAGCCGGCCCCTGTCATTGATTCAATTTTCCGAGCCGGCCTCCTAGTCGACGGTTAGATAGCTATCCTAAGTGAATTCTCCGCTTCTGTTTCCCAGCCTTTGTTAACTGTCTGCTATAATGAGGCTCTGGCTGCTGTGGAGGTCTGGAAGCGCCATCGCAGATGGGAAAGAAGCAACATAAAAGAAATAGGGCAGCAATTAGTGTTTAGCCCAGTTTAAAAGCCCTCCACTTGGCAAGCTGCGGCCCAGCTCCAGTCCAGGATGTGAAACTAAACTGGTGGGCTGGGACTTTGTCTCCCGTTTGTCTCTCTGTTGGCTTAATCAGCGCCACTCCGGTGCTACACACAGCCACACGCAATGGAGAGGAGGAGACGAGTTACTGAAGATTATTGTACTTTTGAGGAGGTCGAAAGGGAAAAAAGGGGGGAAAAGGGAGGTTGAATTGCATCTTTCATTCACGTTGTCTGGAGACTTTAGAAGACCTGTTGATGAAAGGGGTTTGAGAGCACAGAGGAAGAGCCTTGCAGATACAAAACGATGTTCCTGGGAAATGACCCTGAACGTGAGAGAACCTTTATTCCCCTCATGTTAAATCTGCCTGAACCAAACACAATAAAGAGAATTATTTTCAAAACAATCAAATGAGGTTGGTTTTGTTTCATCTGGATGGCTCCACGGCGTGCTCAATCCTGTAAAGAGCTTATACAAACAGGCCTACGCTACAGCACAGTGGAGAGAGAACAGAAAACAACCAAGCGGAGGGGAAGAGAGGCGAGAGGAGAACCCCCTCCTCTCTCTTTTTACATTCCACTGGTGAATATGAGCACATGATCTCACATATGCTAAACCCCTACCACCACCACCTCCCCACACACACACACACGGAAGTGAGAGCACACAAAAGCACTGTGGGGTGCATCCTGGACCTTCTAGGCCCAACTTCCCAGCCACCCCTATTCAAGCGCTCTGCCCTCGCCGACTTTCATATAAAACGCCGCCTACACTAAGGCCCACTCAAAGCCCCTTACAGAGCCTCAAACCAGCCCTCCCCCCCCGAGCTCTCCACCCCCGTCCAGTCAACTTAGGCCTGTGCCCCGAACACAGCCCTGGCAGGCAGCCTCAGCCGCTGAATGAAAGGCTCGAGACACAGGAACTCTGAGAGAAAGAGGCAGAAACGGCTCATATCAACACAATGGATTTCAAATTGATTTGTTCCTCCTGAGCGGCAGCATGAACATACCATACATGCCAATTAAAATAAGTTACCCCATGCCATGTACAAAGGGTGATCCATCTCTACCTGCCCGAATGCAGGTACCACCTTTAATTCTTCTTCTGCTTCCCAACATGCAATTGTTCTCTCTATTCCTCTTGTTTTAAAAATGCATCATGTAAAAACAAACACCTACAATCACAACAGGTACTCTATTCCCCTCGCCATAAGCGTGCTAATTATCACGCGAGGAAAAGTGTTCCCTCACCAATTATCATTTCTCTCTTACATTATCTGCAAAAAAAATCAGTATGGCTACTCCCCCCCTCACCACACCTCCATTATTACAGATGACACTTCCCACACTGCATCCATATTTACAGCTGTATACATCAATATTCCACAGGCTTGCAGTTTCAATATTTTATGGCTTCTTATGAAACATTACAGTAAATCAGCCACATGACATGGGTACACTTAAGTCCGTAAAGAACACAAAGCCGCGTTATGCAAAGAGCATTGTGGAGCTCTTGTGTAACACATATAGCGGAGGGGATTTAAAGCGGATTCACTTGCCAGAGGCCGTCTGCATTTTGTGTAATTATAGGGAGCAAACACATCCCGTTCCCATTCCAGTCCATCAATATTAAATAATTGTCTGCTGTGAGGGACTGTGACTTAAACCGCTTTCAGATCCATCAAGATATAGAACCGCATGCTTGCTCGGCATCACAATGGGAACATTCAAACGGCAGCTTCTGAAATGGCTTCATTCTTGATGTGTGGTTAAGATCTTCAGTGCGCTGTTGAGTGTGATCATTTTTATACTGGGGAGAAAGGCACGTTCAATCCAACTGTCAATGTGTTTGTACGTCTCCGAGGATTTTCACCACATCTTATCGAGTCACGTGAAATGTCGGTTATTCGTGACATTCTGATATGAAACCGGTTTTGACCGAGACGTCGACACGGCAAGGTGATCCGGTCGTAAGTCTGTGCCCGTAGCCGCCGGCTCAACCCGAGTTTGTTGTATACATAGCTGGCTTCTGTCAGGCTGTCACAGGGGCAGATGTTCTTAAGGAGGCCTGTCTATAAACACACACACATAAACACACGCCCCACAGTGTACACACACCGATTTCCTCACATGTCAAACACAGTAAACAAGTCGCCCCAATGCTGGTACAGGCCACACACACACACACACACACACACACACACACACACACACACACACACACACACACACACACACACACACACACACACACACACACACACACACACACGGACTGT